TGCAGATTCCTGATGTCGCGCCTGACCGCGGGGTCGTAGGTGAGCCACCTCGCTCTGCGCTCCTGCTCCTCCTTGGAGAGCACTGGCTCGAGGCCTGCGGCTTGCTCAGCACGAACTCCGTCAGGATCCGTAGCGGGCCCGTCCTCGGGTGGACGTCCAGGTTCACGGAAGCCCTGACTCCCGTCCTCAGCTGGAGGACGCTTCGGGGGTTGCTTGCCACGCAACCTCCTCTTCTTGGCATCAGGCTGGCTCTCGACTGGGAAACTGTCAAGTACACCGAGCCCTTGGGATACGTGTGTGTCGATGTCGAGGTCGATCTGCTGCTCGATGGCGCGTAGTACCAGTCTGTCCAGCTTGTCGGGCCACCTTGCTGCCGCTCTTGTCTTCTTCTGGTTCTCCAACGGCAGGTGGTAGTGATCCCTCGTGCACTTCTCGCCCTGCAAGGCTTCATAGATCGCCACGCTGGTGGTCAAGAACCTCATCGGCTTGTAGTGTGCATCCTTGGTCTCTTCGTCGGCGTAGCCGAGCTGGCACCCGTGCGGAGTGCACTCCAGTAGGAGGCCCTTCTTCACCAGCTCCTGCGTCTTCGCCATCTCGGGTTCGAAGTAGGCACTAGACCCGAGGGGCTGCTCCATCAACACTTGCATCCCGCGCTTCACCCGGTCGGCGACGATCTGATCCGAGAGCATGAGTAGTGGCCTCGTCGCTTCCCGAGTTTCTTGAACAGTAGCGGCTGCAGCGCCGCCCTTGGACAAGTTGCATCGACCCCACTCCCCCCACGGGCCGCAGGGCATGGTGATGACCGTCACGTAGGGGTCCTCCTCCAACAATTGCCTCCGTGCCGCTTGGCGTCCCTTCCTGGTAGCGCCGTCCCAGCCGTCTTCGATATCCAATGGCTGGCCGCAGTTGTAGCCGAAGGAGGTGGAGGCGAGTAGAGTGAGGCCGAACTGGCCGCAGAAGAGCTGCTTCAGCAAGGTTTTGCCTCTAGGTAGCCTCCGCTTCCTGTCGATACTGCCCGTCATAATGTCGAGCGTCCTGCACTCGATGGTGTACAGGTCGTCATGCATGGCCTTCATCTTCTTAGCACGCCTGGTGCTGGCCATCCTGATGGACCGGTCGCCGTCCCAGTCGATCTCGTTGGGATTCTCGGAGACCGTCTCCGTCGCCATGACCTCCGCGGTCGGGATCACGATCTCCGCCTCCGGGCACTCCGTCATGTCGAAGCCGCCGCCGAGCCCGTCCTCGACGATGTAGGTCTGGAACTCTGGGCCGAAGACCTCGGGATCCGGGAAGTCCAGCAAGCTGACGCCCAGGTGGCCGCCGCTGGTCTTGAATAGGGGGACGTTGTAGGCGCCGATCTCCGTGAAGTCGGCGACCGCGTTAGCCACGTCGATGACCGTCCCTAGCTTCGACTGGGTGTCCTTGGAGATCAGCAGGGGGGCGCCCTGATCGAGCTCCGCCGACTCGATCGCGAACGGGTTGTTGGCGATCCCGGCCGGCATGTTGTAGACCGTATCGCTGTGCGCATCGCCGCCGACCCCTCGGAACCTGGTCTGCTGGGACCTGGGAATCGGCTTGAGCTTCCGGTCGAGTAGCTCCTTCTCGTACCTGATCCTCCAGGGCGTACCGTGCATGGTCATCTGGCAGGCTGTGTCAAGCACAGCGGTGCCAGGCGGGTCCCTGGAACTGGAGCCGTAGGCCTCGACGTCGTCCTTGGAGCCGTTGACCATCAGCACCTGGAACGGCCCGTCCTCATGCTGAGAGGGGGGGTCCCACTCGCCCAGCGCCATCAGGTAGATAAGGAACCAGGCTAAGCGGTACTGGTCGACGGTGAGCCGAGTCGGGTCGCTGGACATCGCGTGCCTGATGAGAGCGTTGCCGTACGCCCGCGCAGCGTCACCGCCGTCCACGAACTCGGAGAACGCGTAGCCCCTGTATTTGCCGGCCATGATCTTCTCACCGCCGAGTGGTACCTGCTCGGTATCGAGACCCTTGACGTCCTGGTCGAAGTCCGCGGGGTACGCCACGTACACGCTGTCCTCCTCCCCAGGCCCGTCCAGCTCGTGCGGGTAGTCCTCGATCCCCGGGATCTGCTCAAGCTCCTCGTCGTCAGACGGAACCTTCATCTCCCTCGCGGGCTTCATCTCCCTCGCGGGCTTGGTCACCAGCTCTGGCGCCAGCTCCTTGGACTTAGGGATGCTCTGGTACACCTTGAAGACTCTCTCGGCATGCTTCGTCTTCGCTGGGGTAGTGCGCGAGTAGATGACCCTGCCTCTCGGGGTGAACAGTAGGGTGGCCACGAGGTACTTCCAGAGCTCCTCGCCACTAGACCTGCGGGCCTTGGCCACGTGGATTCCGATCCGGTTGGGCAGGCACCAGTGGCAAGTGAGGTACCGGTGCGTCCCGTTCGCGCCCTTGAACAGTCTGGGGTCCGCCGCCAGCGCGTGCTCGCAGGGCTCCGCCATGACTGGAAGTGACTGGCCTCGTCTCCTCGGGAGTCCCGCAACTCCGTCGTCCGCGCTGGCCTTGAGGGTCTCGTCACCTTCCTTGCCCCCTTGAGGGCTGCCGCGTGGCTTCGCCTTGGGCTGGGCGGGCGCCGAGCCCAGTAGGCAAGGGCGAAGCCGCCAACGCCACGAACACCTCCGCGATCCTGACCTCGCCAGTCTTGGGGCAGTCGCCCTTGAAGTCGCTGAAGCTGAAGTAGCTGTTCTTCGGCCTGTCCGATGGTGGTGCCGCCGATCTCGATGACTTCGGGCAGCCTGGGTCGCCGTGCCAGTGTCCGATCTGCCCGCAGCTGGCGCACCTCGTAGTCCGCTTCAATTTCTCGATCCTGGCACGCCGCTCACCGTTGTCACCGGGAGCACCTCCACCTCTGGCTCGATCCCTCGAGCTCGAACTGCCTTCGCCGCGACCTCCGCCCTTACGTCCTTGACCTCCCTTACCGCGACCGCCGCTGCGCGCCTGGAACCTCTGCTTGTTCTGGACGATCGCCGCGAAGCTCTCCGCCGCCTCCGGGTCCATCTCATCGATCTCCTCGAGAGTGGCCTCCTCCTCGCCCAGATAGACCTCTTCTTCCAGGGGCTGGTCGTCGTAGGAGTTGTCGAGCTGGTGGTCGTTGTCGTCGTAGTGCTCGTGCTCGTCGTCACGCTCGGCCTGCCACGCCTGCCGCTGCCTGTACTGGCCCTGCTGGAACCTCTGCGGCTTCGGGTCCGAGCGGTGCGCTTCCTGCTTGCCATCCTTCCGGTAGTTCCGCTCCCGCTCGTGGATGCCCGAGTGCTGCATGCGCAGCGCCTTGGCGAACGCCTCCTTGTCGTACTTATTGCCCGCGCTGCTGATGATGCTGGCGTGGTCCGACTTGTCGAGCCCGCTGAACTTCAGCAGCAGGTAGGCCTGGAGGTCGTCCGAGATGCTGGTCTCCTGCGAGACCTTCTTGAGGTCGTCGAACGCCTTGGTCCGCCTCGTGATGTACTCCTGCATGCTCTCGCCAGAGCCTCTCCACACGGACTTATCGTAAAGCGCACCGTCGAAGAGCTCTGCCGCGCGAACAGGTCTCTCCTTCAAGACCGACTCGCCGAGCACTCGCAGTAGCATCTCCAGGCCCACGGTGGTCGCCCTCTTGCGAGTGATTGTGCCGCCGCCCTTGCCACCACTCTCGAGAGTTTCCTCCTCGTACGTGAGCAAGCCTTCGTGCTTCAGCGACCTCACGGCGTCGTAGGCCGTGCCCGAGAGACCATTCCTGAGGTTGACTGGCGTCGCGATCTGCTTTTCGTCGCCCATGCGACCGTAGAAGGCGTCCTTAGCCCGCTCCTGATACTCCTCGAACAGCGCTGGGTCGCCGTCGTAGAGCGGGATGTCCTTCTCGAAGGTGAGGCGCGAAGCTCGCGCCATGACACTTCTTGGAGTTGCAGTGGTGCTGCTCGTAGTGCTGCTCGTGGTGTTGCTGGTCGCCAGGGCAGCAACGATCGAGCTCGTGATGATGGCGAACGCGATGCTGCAGCGTCGCCGGTGCCAGACCCCGCCCTGGTGGTCCAGCTTGTGCAGGTCCGCCACAACCTGCGCCGTGGTGCCGAGCCCGCTCCCTGCGGGCCTGGCCAGCAGCCCCAGCCACGGGGCGCGCCAAGCAGTCCCCCGCGAGCCGCGGAGGCGGGAGCAGACCGTGGCGAACCAGTCCGCTCCGCTACCATCAACTGACGGCTGCCGCCGTCGAGAGAAAGCTGAAAGTCTTTTCTGCCCGAAACTCAAGAGCTCTGAAACCGAAACGGTTGCGGTCGAATCGGCGTCGGCGTGAGAGGGGCAGCTCGGGGGGCCAGGGGGACAGTGTCCATTTCAACATCCTCCTCCTCCTCCTCCTCCTCCTCCTCCTCCTCCTCCTCCTCCTCCTCCTCCTCCCCCTCCAAAAAGAGAACCCCGAACCCTGTGGGAGGGGACTTCAGGTAGGAGGGCCGAAAGCATAAGGCACAGGGGCTCTTTTCTGCAGATGTATGGGGCTCCTTTCTGGAGATGTGCCAAGCCAGATCGCCCGCATGTATCTCATCCCTGGTGCACATATGGGAGCCTCAGTGAGGCCACGTTTTCACTGTGATATAAAGGTTAGGGGTTCTTCCACCCTCGATGAAGTGAGAACGATGGCCATGACCAGGACTGAGCGCAGAAGCGTCGGTGCCTTGGGCCATCTTGGGTCACCTTGGCCATGGTCATCGCCCATTTGTGGATCGCCCCCGCGAATCGATGGCGGCCACCGTGGACCACGACAGAGATCGGAGCCGACAAGACCCCACGGCGTCTTGGTCATGGGATCCTGCTTCGCTTTTCGACTGCAGGCATTTCGCCCCCTGCCGCCGAGCCCCCACTGGGCCCCTTGGCCACGTCACCGGGCTTAGATCGGGCATTTCTCCCTGAAGGCGTTTTTTGTTGTTCGAAAAAATCAAAACATATGCAACAATAGTCAAACATGGGCAAAACAAATCCCCTGCCTATATCTGGACTATTTTTGAATTTTCCTCCTTTAGAGGGACCTGCCCGACTTAACACCAGGCCTGGATCTCCATCCCGAGCCTGGGCCATCTTTCTCTTCAGGACTCCCAGAGGCCAGAAGCGGGCTGGAAAGCGGCTCCCGGAGGCCGGAACGACGACAGACTGCCCGCGGCGCGACCTGTTGGCGCCGCCCGGGCAGGTTCAATTCTTGCTTTCGTGTCCTTGGCGGGGGTGCTCGCCGCCGCTGCAGTCGCCCGGATCTGATGCTTCCGCCCCGCCCCGCCCGCGGCGCCCCACACCGGAGCAGCGCCCCCCCTGGAGTCAGGAGGGGAAAAACACACAGACACAATTAATCGTCGACCCCCCCCGAAAGTATCGGAAAATGTGGGAAGCGGGAGGGAAAACAACCACCCAGAAAATATGGGAAAACATGGGGAATCCGGTTCTTTGTGTCTATTTATATTTGTGTGTACCAGGCTCCCTTCACTGAGATCCGACGTAGCATAAAAATTGCCACACCGCGAAAAATCACGACTGGAGCCCCGGGCCCCAGCTCCCTGCGTCAGTGTTGAAGGCCTGGAAACGGGCACCAACACCGACACAGGGGGTTTGCCTCCACAGGGGGAAGGTGATCTTAGATTTCGGTGTGGGTGGCAGTAGTTCGACCACCTTGGAAGCCAGAACATTACCACCATCACCGAAATCGGGATCTTCTTCCCTCGGAGGAGGCGCATCGCCGATATTGGTGCTGGTGTCAACCTCTAGGCCTGCGTCAGCGTTCGAGCCGGATCGACCTGTGAGGGCCCCAGGGCCCGAGACCGGGGCGAAGGCGCCCGCTGCGAAGCGACTGCAACAAACTGGGCCCAGACCCCCGACGCCACGATTCCTTCACTACGTCGACCCCTATCGGGAGCGGCCAAGAGGGGGGTGTCCAAGAGGGGGGGGTGCAGATCATGACCGGCGGCATGTGCGCGGCCCAGCGGGGGGGCCAGGGACGCAATGAAATAAGAGGAGGCGCCATGAAATCTGGGGAAGCATCATGGCCCACGCCGTGATATCTACCCCCCCCCCTAGTCATCACCCCCCTCTTTGCCGCCTCCGAACCCCTGGAGGTCTCGACCCCTTCCCCTGGACCGGCTTTTGATCCTGAGTCGTTTTTTGACGGCCCCGAGGGCTGGCAAGGGCCCCCGGAGGCCCAAAATATACAATTCGCCGGCCCAACGGGCCAAAGGCGTGCTAAGATCTCCGGTAACTGCTAAACAATACTTCTAGTTCGCGCGCGCGGGGCGGCCCCTGGGGGGTCCCCCGGCGAAAAGTACCCCGACCGCCGCCCGACCACTGCTACTCAGAGATGGTTTTCCTCCTGGGTGTGGCTTCTCAGGCCCCCCAGAGCGCGCCAAGAGTGCCCCAAGAGGCCCCCAAGACTGCCCAAAGGGCCCCCGAGACGCCTAAAGAGCGCTCCAAGACGCCGATGATGACCTCAAGACGGCCCAAGAGGCCTCCAAGTGGCCTCCAAGAGGCCTCACAAGAGGGCCCTGAGAGGCCCAAATCAGACATTTTACGATGGTTTTGAAAGAATTTGGGCCTTGTCCCCTTTTCGGCCATCCGATGCTCCAAGACGGCCCAGGAGGCCCCCAAGAGCACACCAAGACGGGCCAAGAGGCTTCCACGAGGGCCCCAAGAGGGCCCAAGAGGGCCCCGAGACGACCCAAGAGGCGCCCAAGACGGCCCAAGACGGCCCCAAGACGGCCCCAAGAGGGGCCCAAGAGGGGGACCACGAACCAAAACCTCGAGCCTTCCGCCCCAAGAGGGCCCCAGGAGGCCCCGAGAGGCCCCAAAGAGGCCCCAAGATGCCGCCAAGAGGCCCCCAAGAGGTCCCAGGAGGCCCCCAGGAGGCCCCCCAGAAGACTTCAAAAATGCCTCCCAGGCGCCCTCGAACGGCTTCTGAAAAGACCCCAAGAGGCCTCCCAGAGAAGCATCTTGACGACGACCCTGTTTGGCCCCAAGAGCAACACAAGATGCCAACGAGAGGCTTCCTCCTCCGCCCCTTCCTCTTCCTCCTCCTCCTCCTACTTATCTTCATCCTCCTCATCTCCTTCTCATCCTCTCCTCCTCCTCCCCTCCCCTTCCCCATCCTCATCTTCTTCCTCCTCGGCGGCGCCACAATGGCCCCGGGCCCACGGCGAAGCAGTAGCGATCATGCAACATGGGCCGGCGGAATGAGCGAAGCGATTGAATAAGAGAAAACCTCCCGCCATGATGTTTTCATTGCCCGAGGGGGTCTGGGGGATCTCAGGGCACACCCCACCCCCCTCCACTGAGGGGCAACGACATGGGGGGACTGGCATAGGAGGGGGGGTGCATCGACCTGGAATCGGCGATACGTCGCCGATAGATCGGCGACAGGCCTCCGATAGTGAATCCGCTCCGCACCTTCCTGGGCAGGCTGGGGCTATCGGGCCCCCCTCGGCGATCCATGGGCGCTTGGGGGTCGATGCATCCCCCACTATGCCTACTCCGGATCCCATGATAAACAAGGGCTCCCAACTTCGCGCTTCGCGCTGCGCGAAGCGCGAAGTGCGAATAACTTCGCGCTCTCGCGCCGCCTCCCAGGGGAGCAAAAGAGGATGAGGAGGAATCGGAGCCGAACCGCGAAGCGCCGAAGCGCGAATAACTTCGCGCCCTCGAGGGCGCCCTTGATAAAGTGGGGGGGGGGGTCACATTTGGGGGGGTCTGATCTGAGCTGTCTCGGAGGGTTCGGGGGCGTCTGGGCGAAGGGCCGCCCTTTCACGGATGGCCTGGAGGGGTCGAAAACTTGTCGTCCGAGAGGGCCGTGACCCCCTCCCTTCTTATCAAGAAATCTGGAGCACCCCCCTCTATCGTTGCCCCCGATCCGCAGGCAGCGGGGGGGCACCGGTCGCCCAGCGCCAGGGCCACCAGCGTGGGCACCAGGTCCCCCTCGGCGCCCTGGCGGGCGGCGCGGGCGCCCCGGGGGCGTTCGGGGGGGGGGGGTCCCAAAGACACCCTCCGGCATGCTTTTTCAATGCGCCGCCCGAGAGCTCCCGACCCCTTTCCCGGCGACGTTCCCAGACTCCCTCGGGCGATGAAACAAGAGATGACGGGAGGTTTTTCCCTACCTAGGCTCTGCCTAGAAGGTTCTTACTCGCTGGGCTTAAAGGGGCCGGGCAGTGGGCTTCGCCCTTGGCGGTTCCCCCAGTCCCCGCCCCGCGGTTCCCCCAGTTGCGCCCCCTTACCTTAGCTTTGCGTATCTCATCTTAGCTTAGCTTAGCTTAGCTTAATATTAGCTTCGCTTAGCTGTAGTATAGTGTAGCTTAGCTTAGCTTAGCTTAGCTTAGCTTAGCTTAGCTTAGCATATCATAGCATCGCCCAGCATATCATAGCGTAGCGCAGCATAGCATAGCATAGCATAGCATAGCATAACATAGCATAGCATGGCATCACATAGCATAGCATAGCATAGCGCAAGATAGCACATCATAGCATAGCATAGCGCAGCATAGCATAGCATACCATCGCCTATAATAACATAGCGCAGCCTGGCCTAGCATAGCATAGCGCAGCATAGCATAGCATAGCATAGTGCAGCATATCATAGCATAGTATAGCAGCAAATCAAAGGCAAAGCAACAGCAGCAACAGCAAAGCAAAGCACAAGTAACGCAAAGCAAAGCAAAGCAAAAGCAAAAGCAAAGCAAAGGCAAAGCAAAAGCAATGTGCAACAGTACGTTCAGAGAGCCCACCTGGTGAGCGAATGCAAAAACATGCGTGTGTGTGCGAAGGCAAAGCACAAGCAAAACCAAGCTAAAGCAAAAGCAACTACGACGATGAGGAGGAGGAGGACGGCGTTTACCATTACTACTAATGCTGCTTTCCTAGGGGCTCCAACTCCTAGGTAGGGTCGCACTGGGGTAATTTATATTTTTGGCATCCGTGGGGGCCCTCACCGGTCGTCGGGACCGTCAGTCCCGGGGAATGGGTCGAGACCTCCAGGGGTCGACGCAGTGAAACAATCATGACGTCGAGGGTCTGGGTTTGGTAAGTTTTTCTCTTCGGCGCTTCGACATTGGGCGGAAGGGGGGGGAGGAGGGGGGGTCTGGCTCTGGACCTCTGCTCAGCTTTATGATGCTCCAACCTAGTTCAGCTTTGATCACCAGAAAGAATGTCGAGCGCCAAACAAAAATACCGAAACTCCAGAGTTTTCACGTGTCGGGCCCAGGGAGACACTCGCCCGACACTGTGTCGACACTATTTCGACACTCTTTTGACACTTTTCCGGGTGCTCGAAATGATGTATGGGATGCGGTCCTTGAGTAGGATGGGAACAGCATAATGCTCAGCGCGACTGTTTGCAGCAATGCGGCCGATGGGGGAGACCCCCCCCGCTCGAAACAGGCACCAAAAAAAAAGCCAAGATCTACTCCCTGAGGGGGGGGGGGACGGTGGGACGACGAAATGTTGCAAGTTGCTCCTGGCCGCGTACGGCCGCGCCGACATTGCGACGCCACCTCGACAAAACGCCCCCGCCCCCTAAATTTCAATGTTGGCATCGAGCGAGCACCCCAAGTCCGGGAGGACAAAATAATGCAAGTCAACATTGAAATACGGGGGAAGGGGAGCTCCTCGGATATCGATGGGATATGATCAAAATTGTCATCTTGTTTCTCGGAACGATCATATAACTTGCGATATTTTGTCCGCCCACTGGAGCTTTGGGGGTCCGCGCCGATCGGCCAGACAAAGAATCGGAAGCGATCCCCGGCGACGTGCGCGTTCGCCCCCGCTCCGTGTCTGGCTGCCCCCTGGGTCGGCGGCGCCGAGGCCGCAGAAAAGCGCAGGGAGTGAAGCACATCTCTGAAGGGGAACTGGGACACACACACACACACAAAAAAAAAAAAACATATTTTCATATATGTTCTGAGTTTCTGTCTTCCCCCCCCCCCACTTCCCATCTTTGTCCCACATGTTCTGGGGAATCGGCGATTCACGGTGTCTGTGTGTTTTTCTCCCTCCTGAATCTCCTCTGATATTTGAGCTGGCGAAGACCCAATCGTGAAATTACTAGCGACTGACAGGTTCCACGGTGTTCGGCCTCCAGGGGCCCGCGCCGGGCCTCGGGACCGCCAGAAAACAGAACCGGGTGAAAAGCCAGTCCCAGTGAGGGGATCCAGCCACACCTATTGGGGAGCGGCACTGTGAACGGAGACCACGACGTCGGCACTCTGGGTCCCCCTCCCCCTCCCCCTTTTTCCCTCCCCCATGGGGGAACTGACGAACCCAGACCTCCTCACGTCGCAGCAGCAAAAATCGCGGCGCGAGGGTCTAGACTATTTACGGCATCCGGGAGCCCAGAATATTGAGATGCGCCACTCCTGAATTCCTTGCGTCGTGGCAGAAATTCAAGGCGCGAGAGTTTTTGGCTACTTTCGGCCTCCCGTCTTGGGCCGCTCTTTGCCTGAAAAGGCCGAGAGTCACAAAATCTGTCAAAAACTCACAGAACATCTATGTTTTTGCCTCGTCAAGCCCTCTCGAGGGTCCTCTTGGGGGCCTTTCTGGGCGTCTGGGAAGCCTCGCGAGCCGTCTCGAAACCGTATTGGGCCGCCTCGGGGCCTCTTGGGCGCTGTCGGGCCCCTGTCGGAAGCGGTCTTGGGCCGTTCTGTTGCTAAATGGGACCGTCTGGGAAGCGATTTTGGGCCCGCTCGGGCGGTGGGAGCGCCCAGGGCCGAATTCGTGCATGGGCGGGGGGGGCCCTTTTTATAAGAGTATTCCAAGTAGGAACAGATGGATCGAACGTATAGATCGGAACAGAAGCACGCAAAGGTGCCATACCTCTCAGGATAAACACGATCAAGATCCATGGAACCTTTGGGCACACGACTTCTCTATAACAATAATAATAATACTAATAATAACAACAATAATAACATAGTAGTAGTAGTAGTAATAATGATAAAAATAATAATAATAATAATAGTAGTAATAATAATAATAATAGTAGTAATAATAATAATAATATTAATAATAATAATATTAATAATAATATTAATAATAATAATATTAATAATAATAATAATTACAATAATAATAATAATAATAATAATGATGGTAATCATACTAATGGTAATAATAAGAAGAAAAAGAAGAAGAGGAATAATAATAAGAAGAAGAATAATAAGAAGAAACGCCATAAGCATAAACTATTGACGCTCCGCGCAGATCTCTCGGATCCGCGCTGGACCCCCTCACTGGCGCGCGGAGCGCGCCAGGGACGGCGCTGGAGGCGCCGCCAAGGGGGCCTAGGCGTCGATCCAAGAAATCCGCGCGGGGCGCCCAAAGTTTATGTTTAAGGCGTTTTTCTTCGATTCTCACACAGCCCGAGAGCTTCTGAGAAGCCCCGCCGCCTTCTGACAAGGCCTGCCCCTTCCCCAGTTCTGCCCCTCCTCCTCCCACTCCCCCTCCCCCTCCCCCTCCTCCTTCTCCTCCGCCTCCTCCTCCTCCCCCTCCGCCCCCGCCTCCGCCTCCGCTTCCTCCTCCTCCTCTTCCTCCTCCTCCTCTTCCTCCTCCTCCTCCTCCTCCTCCTCCTCCTCCTCCTCCTCCTCCTCCTCCTCCCCCTCCTCCTACTACACCTAAGAGTGACCCCAGGCAAGAGTGACCTTTGGTGCGCGACGTTCGGGGAGCCGCGGGGAGCCCCAATCCAAGCGCGTCAGGCGCTAACACCGCAGCACGCTCGGGCCCACACCAAAGGTCACCCTGGCAAAGGGTCAGGTCGGGCGTGTCCTCCTACGGGCGGATGCTTGGACGAAAGATGCTCCCCGAATCGTCCCCTGACTATTTCTTGACCGCTCTGAAGCACTCCTCCTGTAGAGGCACATGCCCGACTGAGGCGAAGGGCCGCTCTTGCGCGCAGTCGACCAGCCCCTCCCTCCGCGCGCCGCCGCCGAGGGGCGAGCCGAGGACGAGCAGCTCCGCCCTGCTCCCCAGAGATCCGACGCCGTGACTTCTTCCAGCACCCTGGCTCCTGATCCGCCGTACTTTGGATGATTTTCCGACCGAAAATTGTGTCGGAAATCGACGCCAAAGGAGCCTCAAGGGCGGAAATCGACGCTCAAAGGGGCCTTAAAAGTAGGGCGGAAATTTCCGCCCTACTTTCGAAATCGCCCAAAGTAGGGCGGATCAGGAGTCAGGGCACGGGGCCCCCGGAGGTCTCGACCAATTCCTCGGCGTGGGCGACTTTTTGGGGGGCCGCGGGGGGGCCAAACCTGGGCGCGCAAGCAGCTGCTGCCGCTTCGGTTTCGGCCATCTGGGGACCCACCCGTGCCCGCACGAAAGGCCACTCTGGCGAGAGGTCCCTCTCACGTCTAGTCGCATACCCCAGGACCGGCTCTCCCTCCTGAGCCGCTTCCTGACGGTCCCGGGGCCCGGCGAGGGCCCCTCGAGGCCGAAAATCATGAAAAACCTAAAAACCTGCGTGCTGATATGTTCACCCTGACTCCGAATCCGCCCTACTTTGGGGAAATTCGTAAGTAGGGCTTGGAATTTCCGCCTTACGTTTCAAGCCCCGCTGATGCCAATTTCCGCCCTACTTTTCTGTTGTCGTTTCCGCCCTACTTCTGTGGATGTTCGCCCTATTTCCGCCCCACTTTTTCGGCTTCTTATAGGTGGATTTCCGGCGCAGTTTTGAGGTGGAAAAAAAGCCAACGTAGGGCGGAGCTGGAGTCAGGGCAGTGCGTGGGATCTCTGGGTCTCTCGAGGCCGGCGAGGGCCCCTCGAGGCCGAAGATCGTGAACCCCCCCCAAAAAAAAACCTGCGTGCTGATATGTTCAGTGCGTGGGATCTCTGGGTCTCTCTGCGTGGGCGCCGGAGGCCCGGCGCGCCCTGCCGCGGGCCTCACGGCCCGCCGCCGAGGCCCCCTCCGCTGGCGCCGGCGGCCTGCGCCGCCGCCCGGTCGGGGGGCTCCTCGGCGGCCCGCTCCGCCTTCGACGGAGGGCAGAGAATCCCCCCCCGTGATACCGTCGGGGCGGTGACCTAAGGAACCCTAAATAAGGAACGAGGCCCCTTTCGATCGGGGGAAGCTGTCCCACACGAGCACTGGGCCATAGCGAGTCGTCAGAAGTCTGGGTCGCGCAGGCCAGCGGCAGGGATCGAGGCTCGAGGGCCGACGTCAACGGTGGCGACGACGGCGACAGCAACAGCAGCAGCAACTACAGTCGGGGCGTTGACCGAAGGAACCCTAAATAAGGAACGAGGCCCCTTTTTTTCCATAAGTTAACCTTCGATTTCCTCTCGAGAACCTGAGGAGCACCCGAGGCAAGCTGTGAGACACTTGAGGAACGCGGAGCCCCTCCCCAACCAAAAGGGTTCCTTCTTCAGGGCCCCGACTGTACCCAGAGATCCCACGCATTGAAGAACTCAGCACGCAAGTTGCTCATAATTTTCGGCCTCAAAGGGCCCTCGCCTGGCCCAGGGACCGCCAAAAAACGGCTCAGGATGAAGAACCGGTCCTGGGGAATGGGTCGAGACCTCCGGGGACCCCGCGTTGCCGCGTTGAAAAAAATCACGACGTCGGATTTCTGGGCACGGTGAAGGCATTGGATAAGAAACCACTAGAGAAGGAATCCAGGGTCAGGAGGCCCGCGGAACTCCAATCGAGGCTTGGCCATGGGTATAGGAACCCTCCAGGGTCTGAGTCCTCCTGGGCGCATTCCTGAACCAACGCCCCCACCGTATAGTCACCCCGACACGCGAAGCCGTTTCGCCAACGCACCCATGAGAAGGAAGCCCACGGGGCGGGGCTGTTCAGCAAACGCCCAGGGCCGTTTCTGTAGTGGGCGCCAACTGTCGGGTCCGGGTGGGTTTTCCTCCCTTGCTTCGGGAGCGGCCAAGAGGGGGGTGTCCAAGAGGGGGGGGGTGCAAATCATGACCAGCTGCATGGGCGCGGCCCAGCAGGGGGGCCAGGGACGCAATGGAATAAGAAGAGGCGCCGTGAAATCTGGGGAGGTATCATGGCCCCCGCCACGACATCCACCCCCCCTTGTCATCACCCCCCTCTTTGCCGCCCCCGATTCTTGGCCGCTGCTGGCGAGCGCTCAGCGTCGCCGGGGCGGCAGGCCAGGCGGCGGAAGGGCGAAGCCCGCGACAGCCAAGCGGAGCAGCATGATGATGCAACGCAGGCTTCGACGACGGGTCGCGCTCGATTTAGTGTTGTAAGTGAGTGCGTGAGTGAGGGAGTGAGGGAGGGAGGGAGGGAGGAGGAGGAGGGAGGGAGAGGAGGGGGGGAGGAGGAGGAGGAGGAGGAGGAGGAGGAGGAGGAGGAGGAGGAGGAGGAGGAGGAGGAGGAGGAGGAGGAGGAGGAGGAGGAGGGAGGCCGCGGAGGAGGGCGAGGGGGCGGGAGGACCCCGCGGAGCGGAGCGGAGCACGCCGGGTGCAGCGCTGTTGGTCGGCGGCGGGCCGGCGCTTCGTGCCCCGCGGGGCTCCTCCGAGCCAGGCATTGCAGTCGTCGGCCTGGCCTAAGGAACGATAAATAGGGAACGACGCCCCCTTTTTTTTTATCTCTGTGGGCTCCGCGCGACGAGACCCGCGGAGGTTTCATGCATGCATTCGAAAGAGGGGGCGGCAGGGCAGGCGGAGGGCCGCGAGAGCACTTACAGCCACCTGCCGAGCCCTCACCAGCCCTCCCAAGGAATAACGCATAAGGAACGATACATAATGCGCATACTACATAAGGAATAACGCATAAGGAGCGCAGCCCCTTTGTTATCCCAAGGAATAACGCAAAAGGACTAACGCATAAGGAACGATACATAGGGAACGAAGCCCCTTTTTATCCCAAGGAATAACGCAGAAGGAACGATACACATAATACATAACGCATGAGGAACTGTAAATAACGCATGCGAGCCCAAGGAACGACCGAGCCCCTTTTGAAAAGCAGGTGTTCCTTATTCAAGCCGCTCACTGTAGGCTTGTGGATGCCAGGACAGTGGACACCCTAACAATCCGATCGTTGAGTTTAAACATGTGTGTAACATGTAGGAACATGTTCTAAAACATGCTTCAACCATGTTGCTTTACATGCTTAAAGCATGCTTAGCACATGTGGTCGGCATCTGGGAATTATTTGGCCACACGCTTCCTCTCCATGGATCATCCTCCACAGCATTAGGTCGGGCATGTCCCCCTCACAGGCCGATTGTCGAAGAAAAACCCAACACAATCAACACATATTGAAACATGATCAAAGAATACGGAACATAGTTCCCAGACTATTTTTTGACTATTTTTGAATCTTCCTCCTGTAGAGGGACAGGCCCGACTTAAGCCAAGCATGGGAAGCACAGGGACATACTAATACCAGATGTCCTCCTTGGAGGCGCGCGCCCGACCCGAACATCTAGTATACCCATCTTGTAGTATATCGTTTCCGGAGCGGTGTGGTCAGAAAACGCCCACCACGACGCATATAATATAAGATTTCTCGGTGCGCGCGTCGCCTCTGCGGGGACGACGCACATAGAGTATAAGTATGTTGGGGTGCCGCCGAGAACAGACTGCTGACGGCGTAGCTGCGGAAGGGTATGGAAGCACTGCCCCGGCACGTGCACAAGACCTCCTCCGGACGGGAGACGACCCGCGCGGGCGCCGCTGCCGTTCAAGGTCGAGGGTCGGGGTTTTGGGGGCTCGAAGCTCTGGGGTGCCCTGCTTCGTTGGGTCGCCTCCAGGCGACTCTTCGTCGCCCGCGGCGGGTCTGCCGCGGAAGCACAGTCGGACGGCGCCCCAGCAGAAGCCAAGGGGGCCTTCCGTGGATCCACGGACCCCCGCCTTCTCTCAGAAGCCCCCCTTGCCCCTTTCGCATCGTGGACGGATCGCGGCGGAAGGCGCCGGGATCTCCAGGACAATCATGTAGCGAAGCGAACTCTGCACACCGACGCTTTTTCCGACCCTGTTCCGAAATACGCATAGGAGCGCGCATCCTGGTGTATACGGGATCCTGGTGTATACATGTTCCGCTGCTTCCCTTGCAAAACGGCGGAAAAGTATACACCACACCACCCTGACGTCGTCCCCGACCCCCAAAAAAATCGAAAAACAACCCGCCACTGGTAATGAATCTGTTCCAGTTTCCGATCCAGAACACATCGGGGCGAACAGCTGGCCCCCGGGGGAGGGCCAGGGGGAGGAGGAGAAGGAGGAGGAGGAGGAGGAGGAGGAGGAGGAGAGGAGGGACGGGGGGGCGAGGAGGAGGAGGAGGAGGGGGAGGAGGAGAAGGAGGGGGGAGAGGGAGAGGAGGAGGAGGAGGAGGAGGGAGGAGGAGAGGAGGAGGAGGAGGAGGAGGAGGAGGAGGAGGAGGAGGAGGAGGAGGAGGAGGGGAGAGGAGGAGGAGGAGGGGGAGGGAGGAGGAGGGGGAGAGGGGGGGGGAGGAGGGGGAGGAGGAGGAGGGAGGGGGAGGAGGGGAGGAGGTCGAGGGACAGGTCCCCCCGTCACGACGCCGGGGGCCTGGGACTCCCGAGCGGCCTCTCCTCGTCGGCGGCCTCCCGGCTCCAGGCAGCGAAGCACGCGAGGCGCTGGCAGAGAAGGGGGCGGCGGGACGAAGGACGAAAGGCAGACCTCCTCCTCCTCCTCCGCCTCCTCCGCCTCCTCCGCCTCCTCCGCCTCCTCCTCCTCCTCCTCCTCCTCCTCCTCCTCCTCCTCCGGGGGAGAGGCGGCGCGCCGTCGGAGGGCCCGATGTCTTGAGCAGGCTCGCGCGAGGAGAGATGCTCGACGCCAGCGGCGTTCGGAGGGCCGAAGGTCCGCCTCCTCCGCCTCCTCCGCCTCCTCCGCCTCCTCCTCCTCCTCCTCCTCCTCCTCCTCCTCCTCCTCCGGGGGAGAGGCGGCGCGCCGTCGGAGGGCCCGATGTCTTGAGCAGGCTCGCGCGAGGAGAGATGCTCGACGCCAGCGGCGTTCGGAGGGCCGAAGGTCCGGTGCTGTTAGAGGTGCCTCTGGCCCAAGGTGCCCGCAGCATCTCCAGGGAGGCCCCCACGGCCTCAAGAGCACCCCTCACGAGGCCCAGGGGGCCCGAGGGGCTCCCAAAGGGAGCGAAGAGCTGGGGGCACCCTGGGCCAGAGGCACCGCTGGCAACCCCCGAGAAGGGGGGGGGACACGGTGTCGCCCGGCCCCTCCAGTCTGGCCGAGCTCGGCGCGTGCCCTCGGAACGCTGGCCCGAGCCTCCCCAAGTGCGGCGACGGTGTCGGATAAGGGCCCGTAGACCCAGGAATCCAGGGCCTGAAGCCGGTGGCACACCGACTGGGGCTTGGCCATGGGCATCACCGCCGCCCCCCTCAGACGAGGACCCAACCAAGGCCTGCAACCTCCTGGGCACACATCCTCTGACGACCGGCCCCGCCGTGTGGTGGAGCATCGGCCGTGGATGCGGCCGGCGTCCAAGTCAAGACATCGGACGCTTTTCGCCCATCTCGCCCTCCAGGCCCGACTCTCGGGCCCACGAAACCAGGGGCATCAAGAGAACGGCCTGCAGGAGGAAGAACCGCGGCCCCCCAAGAAGGGGCCACGAGATCCGTCCGGGGGGGGTGCACTGTACGGCCGACACGTGTCGTAAGAGTGCGCGATACGAATGCAAGGGCATTGGACGCCCGTCTCGAAGCTTCTCGAGCGGGGCGCGGCCAACGAAAGCGGCAAGGGATGGACCGAGGAGACAAGGATGCAAGGATACCCTTGGGAAAGTTGCCCATCCTTACTGCGCGGGTTGACTGCATTGAAGAGGTCTGGTCTCACGGACCTCCGCTGTCGGGACCTCCCCAGGGTGGGGGGAGGGGGGCGGAGGAGGATCAACGAGCCATAGAGGAGGCGGTGCCGCCTCCCCCGAAGCCCGCGCGCGCGCCCACGCGCGCGGGCGCACGGGGGTCCTGACGGGGCAGGACCCCCGACCGTGATGACGAGCACGACCATGCCGACGAGCACCACGATGTCCGCGGGAGGGGGAAGGGGCGAGGGCCCTGCGCGCGTAGCGGCGAGGCCCCTACCGCCCCCCCCCGCAGCTCCTCCCGCGGCCGGCCGCCCCAGGCCCCGGACCACCGCCGCGTGGACCATCACGCGGAAGGAGGCCCCCAGCAGCCAGGGCCGCGGCGTCGGCGGGGGACACGCCCGCGGCGAAGGCCTCCTCGAGGAACGCCTTTATGCCCGCCGCGCCGCCGCAGCCCGCCGCCGCAGCGGCCACGGCGGCGGCAGGAGGACGCGGGTCCTCCGCCGCCACCGTGTCGGTGCGCCGCAGCTGCCTCCGCGCACGGCGCGGCGGCAGCTCGTCAGCCCACTCATCGTCGACGACGTCGACGACCATGGGGAGCTGCACGAGCTCGAGGCCAGCAGCGGCGGCGGCACCGTCAGCAGCGCCTCCACGCCCAGCGTCGGCCGCGTTGGCCGCCCCGCCGCGCTCCGCCGCCCGCCGCGCCGCAAGGCGCTGGCGGCGGCGTCGGCGGCGCTCGACCTTCGCGGCGGAGCTGCGCGGGGGCGCATCCGCATCCTCGGCGCGCGCAGCACCAGCGGCGGGCGGCGGCGCGGGTGGCGCGGTCCGCGCACGGAGCGCGACCGCCGCCACAGCGCCAGCCACCGCCGCCACAGTGCGGCGCGGCGCCTTCGCCTCCACAGCGGCGCGGACGGCGGCCGCCAGCAGGGCGACGCCGTCCACCGCAGCCGAGGGGGCCCCTCTAGGCCGAGCCATCGCGCGGGGCGGACGGCGGCGGCCAGTGCGATCGCTTGAGCCAAAATGGGGGCGGAGGAGGAGGAGGAGGAGGAGGAGGAGGAGGCTTCATGGCTTCATGGCGCTTGGAATGGAAACCCTCGCTTCCTGCCGCCCATCTAGATCGTCCCAGATGACTCTGCTAGAGGCCCAGCGCCCGAAAGCAGCCCCCAGAGGCCAAATGTTACGAACAGCAAAGAGCCCTCTTCTCCTCTTCGTCGTTCAGTCATGATGAGCATCACCATGATTGACACTCTTGTCCTTCGGCTTCGTATCGTTTTTCTTTTGCTCGAGACGCCGAAGGTCTTTTGACGAGCGTCACGCGTAGTATTATGATTGGTACTACCATTGTCGCTATTATTATTTTTCAGTATTATCATACCTGTGATCATTAGGAGTGATATGATTCTCATAATGAATATGAGTATCATTATTAAGTTTATTATCATTATTATGTCCGTATTATCATTCCTGTGCTTATTAGGAGTGCTATGATTATCATTCTGATTATTATTACCATAGTCGCTACTGTATCCTTCGTCTTCGTAGATCGTTCTTCGTCCCTCGAGGCGCAGGCCTTCGCGCTCGCCTTGGCGGCCTCCCGCTCCCTCTCCTTGGCCGCTCGCCGCGGGGGGGGGGGCGCCCCGGCCGAGGCCGGGCCCGGCCATCAACATGAGGGGAATCGGAAACGATAGAGGGGGGGGGGCGCTGGCATGAGGGGGGGATACATACACCTCCTCCTCCTCCTCCTCCTCCTCCTCCTGGCATCGACCTGGAATCGGCGATACAGCGTCAATCGATCGGCGATAGGCCCGCGATAGTGATTCCGCACCTTCCTGGGCGGGTCAGGGCTATCGGGCCCCCTATCGACGATCAATGGGCGATTGCGTGTCGATGCATCCCCCCCTTATGCCTATCTCCCCCTGTCGTTAAGTCGGGCGTGTCCCCCTACAGGGGGACTTTCAACGAAAAATGTAAAATATTCCAAAACGACCCCAAAATGGCAAAAAAACATGCTCCAAAAATAATCCCCGGACGATTTTTGGACTATTCTTGAACATTGCCCCTGCAGAGGGACAGGCCCGACTCAATTCTGTGCCTATCCCCCCCTGTCGCTGCCCCTGAAATTCAACCTCTGCAGGAGGCGGCCCCCTCGGGAGGGAAGGAGCGCCCAGACCTCCTCGCGCTGCGAGGCAAGATCACGACGGGAGGTTTTTCCTGACTACCTACCAAACCACCCCAACCCAACCCGAAGACCCGAATTTGACCCGAATTTCGGGTTGGGGGGGGTACGGGCTCCATGTGTTTTTTCGATGTTCCCCGACCCCCCCCCACTGGAAATGGAGGGCAAATCGTGGCCTTCGGGTTGGGTTGGGGTGGTTTGGTGGGCGGTGATTTCCCCATTCTCGGCCTTCGGCCTCCGGGTGCCCTTAATTACCAGGCTTCGGGAACGTCAAAGAATGGCCCAGGGCGAAAAACCGGTCCCGGGGAAGGGGTCCAGACCTCTGGGGGTCGATGCTGCGAAAAAACCACGACGTCGGGGGTCTGGGAACGGGGACCATGACCAAAAGACCGAACGCAGAAGTGCCGTGCCCATCTTTGTCAGCGCCGATCTTGCTCCGCGCCGATTCGTGGAGAAGATCCTCGCGAATCGGCGACGGCCGACATGGGCCGTGACCACGATCGGCATCAGCAAAATCCAGCGACATCTTGGTCATGGCCCCCGTATTTCTTCCCTCGCCTCTCGGGCTTCTGCTCGGCGGCCGGCCCAGAGAGGGGGGGGGCCGTGAGAAGGGGCGGGCCCCCTCCCGAGAAGCGGGGGAGTCCCCTGGCCTTCTCGGGAGTTTTCCCTGGGCGTTTCCCGAAGACGCAGAGAACCTGTCAGAATGCCCGAGTCGGGGATGGACAGACCCCCCTTTCGTAAAACGTGGCTCAGTGAAAACGACCCGAGGCCCAAACCTGGCGGGCGCGAGCCTGGAACATAACGGCCACGGCGCCCTCTCGAGAACCGAGAACGGACAGTTCACTAATCGACGTGCCACTCTTGGGGGTTCTGTCCACCCCCGATTCTAAGAAGCCCCACCGCCTTCTGCAGAAGCCCTTTCCTTGTCGCGTCCCTCCCTCGCCCGCCGCCGATCTGCGCACCCAGAGAGACATCCCCTGCGAATGCGGGCGCTGCAGCTTCTTTCACCACCGGCGTTCTCGCCCAGCCTCGGCCCCTGGGACCCTCAGAAGGCCTATCCAGCACGAAAAGAGTGCCACGGAGACTTGCGGTCTACAGTCGGGGCCTTGACCTTAAGGAACCCTAAATAAGGAACGAGGCCCCTTTTTACCATGAGATGAGCTTCGATCTCCGATCGACAACGCTAGGAAAACTTGAGGCAAGCTGTGAAGCAATTAAGGAGCACGGAGCCCCTCCCCAACCAAAAGGGTTCCTTCTTCAGGGCCCCGACTGTACACCCTGCGAAATGCTTAAGAAATCATGGGTTAAGAAATTCATAGTCTCAGAAATTGAATAAAAACCCAATCGAGTCGATAAGTCGGCTCGGCGATCGAAATGCGTCGGATCGGCGGAAGTCGGCGGCCGAGTCGGGAAAAGTCGAATCGGCGGACATCGGCAAGCTAATAGGCCTCCAGTAAGGAACCGGAGCCCAAATCGGACTCCGAAGTCCGATCGAGTCGGAATCGGAAGCCATCGAAGTCGAATCGAATCGAAGCGGAGGAATCGGAACGAGCCCTGTGTGGCCGCCGTCGCCGCCATGCGGCCGCCGTCGCCGCCTCGTCGCCGCCCGTCGCACGGGCCTGCGGGCCGCTCTGGCCGCCGTGTGGCCGCCTCGTCGCCGGCCGCCGCCTCGCCGCCGCCCGCTGCGCACTGCTTCGCACTGCGAGGCATCGTTCTGCACTGCTCTACATTGCTTGGAGTTGCTGGGCATTGCTTTGCACTGGTTCGCATCGTGATGCGCTGCTCTGCGTTGCTTTGTGCTGCGTGGGGCCACGGCATTGCAACCGCACTGCTTTGCAGTCGCACTGCATTGCATTGATTTGCAATGACGCGCATTGCCTTGCATTGCTACGCCGTGTTTTGCATTGCTGCGCATTGCTCTGCATTGCTGCTCATTGGTTGGCATTGCTTGACATGGCATTGCACTGCGTTGCTTCGTTTTGCATTTCTCTGCGCCACTTAGCTTGCGCACAACACGGATTGCACAACGTATATTCTCCTTTCTAAAAAGAAAATAGACTCTACCCCCCCCGGACTTATCGGTTCCCCCTGGGATAGTATGATTTCATATATATATATGTATTCTGCACATTCGTCCATCCTAAATATGAAATCATACCATCCCAGCTTGGCCGGTTTCCCCCCCTCTGAGGTTCCCTTGTAAAAAACACTGCGCAGTGACATTTATTGTTCTAACATAGCGCTTTTTCACGAACCCCTTGCAAAAAAAGAGAGACGAAGTGCACACGCGCGCGTCGTCGCGCGCGCATGCCGAAATCCTTCAAAAACCTTCGGTGCGGGAAGGATTTCGCAATCGACTTTCCAAAAAACATACAAAAACACAGGGTTTCGCAACACAAAGTTGCTAAAAAAGCTTCCGCGAAAGCTCTTGCGAAATCTTAAGAAAACCATAGGTTTTTCAAGATTTTCACAAAATGCTACCAAACGGGCTTCGCGCGCGCTCATGTCGAAATCTGTCGAGCGCCCTTGCGCGTGTGCCGTCGCGAGAATCCCCTGCAAAAAACGGGACGAAGTGCAGACGCGCGCGTCGTCGCGCGCGTATGCCGAAAACCTTCAAAACCTATAGGTTTCGGAAGGATTTCGAAATCGTGTGTCCCAAAAGTGTACAAAAACACAAGGTTTCGCAACACGGATTTTCAACAAAAGCGTGCACGCGCGCTCTTGCGTCGTCGTCGTCGTCGTCGCCGTCCTCCCTCCTCCCGCGTCGTTGTCGTCGTCGTCGTCGCCTACGGCGTCCTCTGTCTTTCCTCGTGTTCGTCGTCGTCGTCCTCTTTGGCGTCGTGGTCGTTTCTGTCGTCGTTGTCGCCGTGGTCGTCCTTTCTCCTCCTTCCTCGTCGTCGTCGTCGTCCGTCGTCGGCGTCTCGTCGTTGTCCCTCCTATTTCGTCGCCGTCGTCGTCGTCGTCGTTGTCGTCGTCGTCGTTTTCTCTCCTCCCTCGTCGTTGTCGTCGTCGGCGTCGCCGTCCTTCCTCCTTTTTCGTCGTTCGCGTCGTCGCCGTCCTCCCTCCTCCCTCGTCGTTGTCGTCGTTGTCGCCGTCGTCGTCCTCCCTCCTTCATCGTTGTCTTCGTTGGCGACGTCGTCGTCGTCTTCGTCGTCGTCGTCGGCGTCGGCGTCGTTGTCGTCCTCGTCGTCGACGCCGGCGTCGTCGTCGTCGCCGCCGTCGTCGTCGTCGTCGTCGTCGTCGTCGTCGTCGTCGGCGTCGTTGACGTCGTCGTCGTCGTCGTTGTCATCGTCGTCGTCGTCGGCGTCGGTGTCGTCGTCGTCGTCGGTGTCGTCGTCGTCGTCGTTGTCGGCGTCGTCGAAGTCGTTGGAGACGTCGTCGGTGTCGTCGTACTCGTTGTCGTTCATCGTCGTTGTCGCTGTCGTCGTCGGCGTCGCTGTTGTTGCCAAGTGCCATGTGGTACCCACCGTCACGGTCTTAAGAGATTTTGCAAACCAAGTTGCGGATGGGTGGGTGGGATGTTTGCGCGAGCAGTGGAGAGGACAACTCACTGCGAACAGAAAGTAAGTGCACCACATCGATTCTCCTTTCTACAACAAAAATAAATTTTACCACCCTCCCCCCAGGGTTAAAGACCCCCCCGGAACCGATGCAAAACACATAGGATTCTGACACCATGTCCATCCTACCTGTGAATTCATACGATCTCAGCCAAGCCGGTATCGCCCCCCCGCCATCCTCTGCAAAACATACTATGCGCGCACACTTGTTTATCAAACATCATAAGTTTCCAAAAATCCCGTGCAAAAAAATGACGAAGTGCACACGCGCGCGTCGTCGCAATTGTATGCGGCAATCCTTCGAAAACCTTCGGTTTCGGAAGGATTTGAAAATCGAGCATCCAAAAAAATACAACACACAGGGTTTCGCAACACTGATTTTCTAAAAAAGCTTACCCGCGCCCTCCTGCGAAGTCTTAAGACAATCATCGGATTTCCAACATGTTCAATAATGCAACCAAGCGGGCTTCGCGCGCGCATGTCGAAATCGTTCGAACGCCCTTGCGCGCGTGCTGTCGCGAGAATGCTCTACCATAAATGGGACGAAGTGCACGTGCGCGCGCGTCGTCGCGCGCGCATGCTGAAATCCTTCAAAAACCTTCGGTGTCGGAAAGATTTCAGATCGAGTGTCCAAACAACATACAAAAACACAGGGTTTCGCAACACGGATTTTCAACAAAAGCGTGCGCGCGCGCTCTTGCGTCGTCGTCGTTGTCGCCGACCTCCCTCCTCCCTCGTCGTCATCGTCGTCGTCGCCGTCGTCGTCCTCTGTCTTTCCTCGTTGTCGTCGTCGTCCTCTTTGGCGTCGTGGTCGTTGCCGTCGTCGTTGTCGCCGTGGTCGTCCTTCCTCCTCGTCGTCGTCGTCGTCGTCCGCCGTCGGCGTCTTGTCGTCGTCCCTCCTATTTCGTCGCCGTCGTCGTCGTCGTCGTCGTCGTCGTCTTCCCTCCTCCCTCGTCGACATCGACGTCGGCGTCGCCGTCCTCCCTTCTTCTTCGTCGTTCGCGTCGCCGCCGTCCTCCCTCCTCCCTCGTCGTTGTCGTCGTTGTCGCCGTCGTCGTCCTCCCTCCTCCCTCGTCGTCGTCGTCTTCGTTGTCGACGTCGTCGTCGTCGTTTTCGTCGTCGTCGTCGTCGGCGGCGTCGTCGTAGTCGGCGTCGTCGTCGTCGTCGGCGTCGTCGTCGTCGGCGTTGTCATCGTCGTCGTCGTCGTCGGCGTCGGCCTCGTCGTCGTCGTCGTCGGTGTCGTCCTCGTCGTCGACGTTGTCGTTGTCGTCGTCGTCGAAGTCGTTGGAGACGCCGTCGGTGTCGTCGTAATCGTTGTTGGCGGCGTCGTCGTCAAGTGCAATTTGGTACCTACCGTCACAGTCTTACGAGGTTTTGCAAACCAAGCTGCGGGTGGGTGGGTGGGATGTTTGCAAGAGCATGGGATGTGTCAAATCATGGGTAACAATCAATTACACCACCTAGATTGCACCACGTAGTTTGTACCACATGGTATGCTAGAGCGCACTACTTAGGGCCCGCGCTGGCTATCACTGTGTTTTTGTTAGTGATGTTGGATCTCAAGGTCCGACGGCGTGCTTCCTTCCAGCCCGCAGGTCCCAGGTCTCAACCCCTTCTCCAGGGGCAGGCTGTCATCGCAGACCCATTTGTGATCGCCCCTGGGCCGCCTTAAACGCCCCGCCCGGGAGCCTGAGACTTCAGAACAGAAGCAGCGCGACCAAAAAATCAGGCCGCCCGAAATCTAAGAAGGCCTCTCAGAAGGCCGACAACCCCCCTCCCCAGTGAGGGCAACGTTGGGGGGAACCGGCTCAGGAAGGGAAACATCGAGCCGGAATCGGGGATACATCGCCGATGGATCGGCGATGGGCCCTCGATAGCGAAACCGCACGGTCCTTGGCAGGATGGGGCTATCAGGCCCCTTTCAGCGATCAGTATCCGATTGGAGGTCGATGCGTCCCCGCCTGAGCCTGCCACTGGCGGCGCGCACGAAGGGGGCACGGGGGAGTGGCATCTTAGAAGCACCCTGCTTCTAAAAAGCCTTCTCCCCTCCCCCTGCCCAGCCTCTTTGCGTGGCTGAACCCCCCCCTCACGCTGCCCCTGGCCTTAGGTCGGGCATGTCCTCCTACAGGACGAAAAATGAAACATACCCCCAAAAATAGAAAATAGCCAAACATAGTCAAAAGCTCGTCCCCAGACTGTTGTTTGACTATGTTTGAAGATTCCTTCTGTAGAGGGACGTGCCCAGCTCCCCCCCCCCGCGGCGCGCCGCCGATCTCCAGCGTGGCCAGCAGCGAGGTCAGGTCGCCGATCGGGTCCACGATGGGCCGGCAGGCCTTGCACGCGGCGATGGCGGTCTTGTGGTCGAGGTCCGCGGCATGCATGGTGTAGGCCACGCCCGTGGTGCCCGCTCTGTGAGCCCCCGCGAGGCAGTGGACGGCCGAAGGCCAAGAAGACGGCGCGGGCAGCAACTTTCGGAGGCCAGCGCGGATCTGTTCCTCCCTCCTCCTCCTCCTCCTCCTCCTCCTCCTTCTCCTCCTCCTCCTCCTCCTCCTCCTCCTCCTCCTCTCCTCCTCCTCTCCTCCTCCTCCTCCTCCTCCTCCTCCTCCTCCTCCTCCTCCTCCTCCTCCTCCTCCTGCTGGGCCAGCGAAGGGCCTACAGAGGCCTCCCACATGAGCGGCGATCAAAATCGGGTCTTGCGCGGGGTGGCACGGCGACCCTACGCGGTGGCCTACGCGGGCCGCCATCGGGACCCGCCACATTGGAGACGCGGGTGCTTACGTGCGAGCTTACGCGGGCAGCTCACGCGCCAGCGTCGGCGCAGAGGACCCCGTTTTCTTTGTCGCCCAGCTGTGGTCCGAGCAGGCGGGGTCGGAGGATAGCGTCGCGTCATCGACGCATCGCTCCGATGCATCGGCGATGCACAGGCGACGTCGGCGATGCACCAGCGACATCGGCATGGAGAGAACAGTGCTCCACATCGAGCCGCATCGCCGATGAATCGGCGATGCGGCGCGATTCTCCGACCTCATCTCCTGTACCCCACTTGGGAGGCCACGAGGACCCCTTTCCCCACACCCTTTGACCCTTGGCGGCGCAGACGGCGCCACGAGTATCAGGTCGGGCATGTCCTCCTACGGGATCCTACAGGCGGATTTTTTGACGAACAAAAATAAAGAATATTCCGAACGTATTCAAAACGTGTCAAGAAATTCGCGGAGGAGAGAACAGATCAGCAGAAAAATAATAATAAAAAGAGGGAGGAGGAGGAGGAGGAGGAGGAGGAGGAGGAGGAGGAGAATTCGCGGGCCCAACGGGCCAGAGGCGTGCTAAGATCTCCGGTAACCGGTGAACGATATTTCTAATCCGCGCGCGCGGGGGGCGGCCCCATGGGGGTCCCCCGGCGAGAAGCATCCCGACCGCAGCCCGACCAGGTCTGCTCAGAGATGGTTATTGAGGGCCTCTTTTCGACACCCCTCACGAGGATCGTGCTCTTCCTCCTCCTCCTCCTCCTCTTCCTCCTCCTCCTCCGCCTCCTCCTCCCCTTCCTCCTCCTCCTCCTCCTCTCCCTCCCCCCCCCTCCTCCTCCTCCTCCTCCTCCTCCTCCTCGCCTCCGAGGGGGGTGCAATCGACTACCCCGCCCCAAGAGGCCCCCCAAGAGCCCCCCAAGAGGCCCAAGGGGGCCCCAAGACGCCGCCAAGGAACCCCAGGAGACCCCCAAGAGGCCCCCAAGAGGCCACTAGGAGGCCCCAAAGAGGCCCCCAAGAGGCTTCAAAGAGGCCCCATGGAGCGCTCGAGGGCCGGCGGAATGAGCAAAGCGATCAAGTAACTAAAAATGTCCCCAGACTATGTTTTGGCTAATGTTGAATGATGTTGGGTGTTCTCCCTGTAGAGGGACTTGCCCGAATTAACATAGGCACCCAAAAGCTTCGAACATTTCTGCTCACGCTGTTCTCTTGTCCTTTCCAATGAGCACGCCGCGACCGGCGTCCACCTGCTCGTCGATCCACTCGAAGACGACGGAGAAGAAGTCGAGCACGCCGCCGACCGCCCGTCTCGGTCCTCGCCGCCGTCGTCGTCGTCGTCGTCGCCGTCGTCGCCGCAGTCGTCGTCGTCGTCGTCGTCGTCCTCCTCCTCCTCCTCCTCCTCCTCTTCCTCCAGACTGCCTCCTCCTCCTCCTCCTCCTCCTCCTCCTCCTCCTCCTCCAAACTGGCTCTCTTCCCTCCTGCTCCTGCACCTCCCCCGCCCCTTCCCAACCCCTCCTCCCCTCCCCTCTCCTCCGCGTGCTCCTATGCACATCCTCTCTCTTGTTCGGATTCCTGCCATTCCTCTTCTCCCCCCTCGACTTCCCCCTCCTCGTCCTCGTCCTCGTCCTCCTCCTCCTCCGCCTCCTCCTCTTTCTCGTCCTCCTCCCCCTCCTTCTGGCCCCCCGTCCTCCTCCTCCCCCTTCATCCTCCTTCTCCTCCACCCCATCGGAGATCTCCAAAAACTTCCGAATACCGTCGCGAACATCCGAAACCCTTCGGACAATTGCCGACAGCATCCGACCACCCCAGGAACCCGCCGAACAATAATTCGTCCTGTCTCCTCATCCTTATTCTTATTGTTTGTCTTCTTCTCTTTCTTCTTCTTCCTCCTGCCCATCTTCCTCATCCGCCTCATCCTCACCCTCCTCCCCCCCCCGACCTCCGCCAGCCGTTTTTCCGAGTTCTCGAGCCCTTTTTCCAAGTCCTTATGAGAGCAACCGACGTTCGAAATCGCGATACTCGGGTCGGAAAGATATTTCCCCAATCAGCGCTTGCACCGAAGAGGTCCTCGCGGAGATTGAAACATCTGGCGAAAATCCTGGGCCGATTTCGATGAGCCGCTGGGTTCCTGGGTTCCCCGGTTCCCGTGTCCAGGTTCCGGGCCGATGTCGGTGGGCGGCTCCTGGGTTCCTGGTTCCGGGGTTCCCGGCAAGGCAATGTCCGCTGTGTTCCCGGGTTCCTGGTTCTGGGGTATACCTGGCGCTGGGTTCCCGGGTTCCCGGTTCGGTGGGCGGCCTCCCAAATGCCGATTCCAGGATCTAGCCGGTAATGCAAGGTCTGATGGGTTTCCAAGTTCATGTAAGGTCTGGTGGGTTTCCGGGTTCCCAGTTCCCGCGCCTGGGTCTTTGATCTTGAAGAATACAAGGGTCAGAGAGTTGCGAGCAGAGTTGACTAGAGGGGTTTGTGATATATATATATATATATATATATATATATAGAGAGAGAGAGAGAGAGAGAGAGAGAGAGAGAGAGACAGACAGAGAGAGAGAGGAGAGAGAGAGAGAGAGAGAGAGAGAAGAGAAGAGAGAGAGAGAGAGAGAGAGAGTGTGTGTGTGTGTGTATGTGTGTGTTTGTGACCACGGTTAGATAGAATGGCGAAAGATGGTTGGGGGGCCTGAGTGAGAGGGTACACATTACACATTGAGGGTACGATGCAGATCAGTTGTGTAAATGAGAAGAACATCTATGGGTACCCCCCCCCCCCCCCAAGGACCCTGCAGGGTTTCTCGTCGTTCTATTTTTTCGTGTGCACCGCTGTCGAGATTGAACCTAGTCAGCGCTAGCGCCCACATTGTACAATGGGAGCTTGCATGCCGCATCATTGAAAACAGTCGGAAGCGAAACGGCGCGTGCGACTCGTCGCGGGCACGGGCAAGGTAGAACTCATGTCGCGCTAGCACTCGCACTGCACAAGGGTGCCCGCGCGATGCGCGATGGGAGCGTCAGTTGAAACGAAACGGCACATACGATCCGCCGTGGGCATCGGCAAGCGCTTTCATCGCCACTGCCATCGAATTTCCTGAGTTGACATAGTGGGCATACTCAGCAAGGTCGGGCAGTGGCATCAGCTGCTCTTCCGCACAAGGTGCACCGTGCTGATCTGCAGCGCCAACTGCATCGCTGGCCACTGCGTTGAGCATGGGCATCTTGCTATAGCGAGCCCGCAACCACATCTTCATGCGAGAGTTCTCACTCTCAATATCGTTGCTGTGGAAGCCCGTGGATCGATCCCGCCATCCTGTGCAATGGTCCACAGGCGGAGCGTAGCGGAAACCGAATTGCTTCACCGCAGCTTCAGAAGATTTCCACCCGTCGAAGACCAGGAACGACCGCTTCTTGATGCGCCGCTTGATCACTTGGGACATTGACGCGAGACCGCGAGGAGTTCCGTCAAGCGCAGCCGAGGCAAGAACGCGAACGTGATCCTCTTTTTGCCGTTCTTGTGAGTGTAGCACTCTTGCCCCTTCCCAACTGTGACGGCCATCCACAACCACCTGGCGTTCACTCTGGGTCCTTTTCCTCGCAGGGCGCCTGAGAACAGCCGCTGGTCTTCGATGAACGCCGGCGGCGGCAGGGCGTTTCGCCGCGGCAGGTCTCCGAAACACGCTGGCGGCGGCAATCTTCTTCCACGTAGTCCGCGCGGGCAGCCTCCGAGGTACTCGGCCGCGTCTCACGGGCTTGGAGTCTGGAGATGCACGGTGCCTGTCGGTGCGCGTACGGATACCCTTATGGATCCCCATCTGCGTCTCGTCGAACACCACGACCTCGCCTGGTCCGCCAATTGCACCCTTTCCGCCAGACACAGCTGACGTGCGAAGTGCTTCCTGGTAGGTCCTCTTCCAATCTCGCATGGTGTGCTTGTCGTGGATGTTACGCCCGTCTCGCAGCTCGGACTCGGTGGAGATCAAGCGGTCGTTCCGACGCAGCCCAACTATCAAGTGCAGGAACGCTGGCCACAAGTGTACCGATATCTTACTCAGTGGGCCAACTCCTTGTACCACTTCATCCAAGTGGCCGCTTCTCCCGCTCGCTGGGCACCTCCAACGGAAAGTCATGGATTTCCCTTCCCTGCTTCGGCAACAGATCTTCGCGGCAGCGTGGCATTCGGAGCAGCGCTCGATTGTCTTGACGAGGCCGAAGTGGTTTGCAAGCAAGATGCCCCGAGCGCCAGCACAGTCTTGAAACTCTTTCGGAAAGCACACGCTGCTCTTCATTGCGTTGGCAACAAATGATGTGTTAGACGAGAACCAATCCTCGCATATGGCTTTCTGATAACCATCAGGCGTAAGAGGAGCGGGTGGCGAGTTCCCCAGAACGCCTCGCTCGCCCATGCGCTGCCCTGGCATGTTAAGTGATATGGGAAGGAATGCGCAACGCAGTGCTGAGTACAAACAAAAGGCGGCGAAATCGCTCCCGCGAGCCACGATGACTACGGATGTAATGCAGAATTGGAGCGATGCATCAACAAGTCTAACATCACTGACGTCGTGTGCAAACTCCAATTCTCAACTCACTCTGCTTTTGATCGCCGCCTGACCCCATCAAAGGCAGCGCAAGTCTTGCAGTATCACGCCGGCGCTCGGGCGACGATCCGTCTGCACGATCGCTATCAAATCACAAAAACAAGACATGCACACGCGAGACACACATGCCTGAATTGACACAGCGCGCATACTCAGCAATGTCGGGCAGTGGGCTCAGCTCCAACTGCATCGCTGGCAGCTGCTTGGCTAGCGCGCTGCATATGCGCCAACCAATGCAGCTCCGTCAGAACAGCAGTCACTGGTGGATGCGCCGCCAAGTGCAGGCCATCGTCGGCACGCCGCCAGGCAGTTCGTGCCATGCCACAGGGCCGTTGAAGTTGGCCTTGGTTGCACCGTCGAAGATAGTGAAGCCGCGCAGGGTGACGATGGCACCCACGGCATGGCCGACCACGGTAGGCCCTGTGCCATACGTAACGATATATCTGCCAGGTAAAACACTGCGACCGCCGAGATGATGGGCCTTGTCAATCACGTAGCCCATGCTCTTGATCCACGATTCGGCGTCTCGGATCGTGAAGGGCCCATCAGCTGTGTATTGCACGTCAAAGCCGATGTTGTTCAAGCTGTCGACAAGGCAGCAGTCCTGTTGGGGCGGGAAGAAAGACAATTCGACACAGTAGCGGAGCTGACAAATAAACCGCCCAAGCACGGGCGACGAGGCAGGCGGAAGCGGGATCGACTGGTGACGCACTGAAAGAGCGAAGCATACAGATGACAAGATAATGATAAGGAAAGGAAATGAACTAAGCGAGAGAAAGAAGAAAACCGAATCTGATATCCGAAAGCAATAATTGCAGAACAAGGTCCTTGAACTGAGCCCGACCCACCTCGGCGGATGCAACTGGCGAGGCGCCAGAGAACAGCTTCGTCAATCCTTCTCGAAATGCA